GCTACCACCAGGGGGCAGTGGAAATGTCAGAGATTGGGAGGAAAAAAAAAAAAAGGCTCCGGGTTTACCAGTTGATTCTTGTAATAGAACTTAATAAAATATCCCTACATTCTCTAGCTTCAGAGAATCAGTTGTTCTATGCTTAATTCTGGCTGCTAGGTTTTAATAGAAGAAAGTATCTGCGAATGCCATGATCAACTGGTGCATGGGGATAGGTTGGAACATCTTGAGAATGTAAACCAGAAGAAAAAACAAGGCAACTCTGCTAATGATGCTTAAATTTTTAGAGGAATGATCTGTGAAAATTCAGTTAAGTTTATTCTGTTCAGCTGAGGACTAAAAGGTGCGAGTTGTATGGAGTTAGTTTTTGCCTCATCAAGAAGAACTTCTAACAGCAATGATGGAAGAAAAAGTGGTTTTGGATGTATTGTGAAGTAAGCAACCTGCAAGTCTGAAAAGTTCCCCAAGCTAGGGGAATTTCTCTTCAAAATGTGGTTGATGATAATGGATTAGATGATGTCTGATGACTCTTCTAAGTCTGAGTAAAATCCAGGAGTTGGTTATTTGATCCATATTTCTAATTTAGGCCCAAAAATGGGCCTATAAAATCTTCTCCCTTAGATCTTTGTGACTTTGGTGGATGAAGTAAAATCATGGCCTATGGTAACTCATCCAGAGTGAACCCTTTGATCTGACTGAATCAGGTGCTGAGAGGTGACTCAGGAATAGATGGTAGGAGTTGACATCCTCAAAAGGAGATATATTTTACTTTATTTTTAGAATACTGGGATTGAACCCAGTATTGAACTGAGCTACACCTCAAGTTCTTTTTATTTTCTAAGCAAGACCTAGTCTTGCTTACTTGCTGAGGGTCTTGTAGAGTTGCTGAGGCTTACTCAAACTTGAGATCCTCCTGCCTCAGTCTCTCAAGTGGCTGGGAATACAAACTTGAACCATTTCACCCAGCAAGAGATATGTATTTTAGAAGCCACAGAAGAGCAGAGAACAGTAGACTCTATTCAGCAGACTCTGGGGCTATTGAAGAGAGAGGAAGTATTGATATAGCTTTTGGTCAATGATTAAGAAGGGGAGAGATGAGAGTAGGAAAGGGGAGTAGTGGTATGTTAGGCTATTTATAGGCTCAAGGACTAGAGAATGCTCAGGTTGTAGTAGAGGTTATAGTAGGCAGGAATTTATTGCAACAATACAGAGAAATAAAAATGTTGTTGTTCTGGAAGTTTGTTGAAGATGTAACTGCAGCTGGCCTTTCAGCAGGGACTATCACCTTGTGCACCCTGCTCTAGTGTTTCCACACAGTGAGGTCTCAGTCCTTTCTCTCTCTGCTCTTGCTTCTGGTGCCACTGATCATCTTTTCTCTACTCGCCTTCCTACCATCCCAGAGCTTCTGTTTTCTCTCTGCTCTCACTTCCCTCTCTATGCCTTTGTGTATCTACCCTGACTGAGGAGTGTACCTTGTGGTCATATGCCCAAGAGAGAAATTTAGATGGTTCACTGCCTCTCAATAGAGAGCTTTTCTGTTGAACAGAGTGCATCTACCAGACTTTTGGTAGAGAAATGCCAGTTAGACCACCATCATGCTCCATCTGTTGAGCCAAGAATAATAAGCTGTATAAGGAAGTCCTGAAAGGAGGCAATGGCAGGGCAGATTTTCTGAGGCATGAAAGAAGTGGTAGTGTAACTTTCAGGAAGTTGCTTCACCAGACACTTTTGGAAGGAAAACCAGGGTGAATTCATGATGAATAAAAACAACGGCTAAAAGTCAATCTGAAAATACTGTCCAAGGAGTATTTTTTTTTTAATGAGAAAAAGTATGAAAGACTCTCTTTTTCAACTTGCCTCCCATGAAGAGAGACAAAAATATAGAAAAATAAAAATAATTAGAATGTATTTTTCCCAGCAATGATACTCTGGAAAAACTGCAAAATTCCTCCTGCCCAGATGCCTAGTCCAGTACCCTAGTCCAGTCCTCAATAGGCAAGATTTCAGCTATTTTTTTGGTGTCTGTGTAGTATGTTCCTTATTTGTTTAAGTTAATTAGAGCCAGTACTTGTTGCTTGTAACCAAGAAACTCTACAAAGAAAGTAGTCCTTTCTAAACTTCTTGTGTAGGGAGTCAGCAAAATCAATCCATGGTAGAAAGCTGATACTTAGATATCTGTGCATCACAACCCCAGGAAAAGAGAGACAGGTTCAGAATTAAGTATAGATCAAAAGAATTTAATATTTGAAAACTTGCCAGCTCTTTTTAGGTATTAAATAAACTGGGGCAAATGGCACAAATGACAAAAATAAAACTTAGACAGCTTTTAAAAGAAAAAAACCCCAATGACTTCATATCTTTGATGGTATGGAATTAATAACATTACAAAGTATTTAATATGTAGGTGTAGGGATGGTTAATTTCCCCCAACTCAAGGATTTATCTGGATTTGCCTGTTGACATCTGACCTACTTTTCAGCATTCCAGGCAGTAATTACCCGAAGCCCTCCCCAAAGTCTCAGTCCATAAAATCCTCCTTTTAATAGACTTAACAAGCCTTTAGCATGCTCCTGCAGCACTTCAAAGTCACATTGGCACCAGAGGAGTGTTTTAACACATGCAACACACGGAAGTGCATTCTGGGGTTTCTCAGGCTTAAGACAAAACTGTAGGGACACAGACATTAGGTACTGCAATCTGGGGAGATTCATATTCTGGAGGGAATCCTTGGGATGTGAGAAGGGAATGGTGGTAGAGTTTTGGGTTCTTAAAGTTCTTGAGAAAAAGGAAATAATCTGAGATGAATCCTGTTTGAACCAGGCAGTGGACTATTCTGATGAAGTCCATCCCATTCTTAAAGTTAACCCATTAACTTTTCAGTTTGGTTCAGGCAATATGGGAGTGGCAGGACCAAAGTTACGTTACTCTTAAATCCCTTTCCCATCCATTCAGAGATTCCATTTCTATTCCTACTTACATACATTGCAGATAGGGATTTCAGTTAATGTGCTCTGTCTGCCTACAAAGTTAAAATGTCCACCTGCTCATATGCTCAGAAAGGAGCAAGGAGGGAAGCATTTATTAATTGGTTCCAGAGGTTCTGTGTCTGCCAAATGTTTCTCAAAATCAAGTATGACACAATTGGGGCAATATAGTAATTGTTTTGTTATTTGAGAACTGCAATGTGGAAACTGCTAGTCATATATGGCTATTTAAGTTTAAACTAATTAAAATTGCATAAAAATTCAAACCAGGGGCTGGGATTGTGGCTCAGTGATAGAGCCATCTTCTAGCATGTGCAAGGCCCTGGGTTCGATCCTCAGCACCACATAAAAATAAACAAAATAAAGGTATTGTGTTCAACTACTTCTAAAAACTAAATATTTTTAAAAAAATTCAAACCATCTATTACATAAGCTACATTTAAAAAGGTCAATAAGTGGCCAGTGGCTACTGTACTGAACAAGATAGATTTATGGAACATTTCCATAATTGTGGAAAGTTTCATAGGACAGCAGTATTCTGGAATAATGAATTCTATTCCACCATCATTGTGTTTTTACCTGTACTAGTTAGAACAACAACAACAACAACAAAAAAAAAACTGCCCAGGAGAGACTGGGAATGTAGCTCAGTGGTAGACTGCCTGGCTAGTGTGCACAAAGTCCTGGGATCAATGCCCAATGTCAAATAAATAAATAAAAACTTCCCAGTAGATATCTTTTTTCTCTCAAGTATTCGTTATGCAAATACCACAGGTGTTGTGTAAAAACATAATTAGTTATCCCACCAACATTGGAACCTTTGATAATTCTAATGCTTAATATTTCATCCTCCTCTAGTTCAGCTAGGAACTGTGTCTAAAGAAGGTGATTACAAAGTGTAAGTCATAAATATAGGCAATTAAATCATCACAATGAGAATGAAAACTTTCCTGGAATCAAGTGGAAAATTATTTCAACAGTAAATTTTATTTTTGCTGTGAAGATAGTTCAGTATTCTTAGAAAATAAGCTCTGAAGTTTCTTAGACAAATACGAATGCCTTAGTTACTATATACTTTGCAGTTGAAATATTGTGCTAGCCAAGTGCTTGTTTTATTCATAAAAGATGATGGTGTCTGTATTACACAAGCAAGGCTATTTGTGTACTCCAAACACATCATTCTAAAAGATCTGCCACTTGATGTATCTAACACATATAGTGCAATTATCAATTGGCCTGAAACAGGTTCTAAATATTTCTAGGATTTAAAGAACTGTAGTCCCTTTAAAAGTGAAAACTATTAGGCTCACTGAAAAAAAGCTCATTAAATATATTTGTAAATTAAAATTAACAAATTTTTTTTCATATGCATGTAAATTCGTTTTTAGTTTATGTAAATTTTTGAAGTTGGAATTATACTCAAGTTCCAACCTTCACATTATAAACTATGTGCTAACTCCTCTGGCTAGAACTTTGGTGCATCTCTGAAAGATTATTTAGTGGAGAAAGTGAAGGAAATTTTTAAAATCCTTATCTCTATGCATTCCTCACTCCTACATAAATGTTTATACCTGTTTGGCATTTTAAGGCCATCCTTTGAAAAGCATGAAAAGAAAAAGTTGTATAGCTAATTTACACTGCTAATTAAGTTCCCACGGATCAGACCTCAACCAAACCAAAAAAGAAAACAACAACAACAACAACTAGGTAGCTGGGCGATGTATTTAATGTCGAGCTTGCTGAGTATTAATCCAGTATTTATATTTTGCTTAAGCTGGGGGTCTTCCTCCCCGGACACCACCACTTTCTTGTAGTCTTCCAGGTAGGGTCCAACTCTTCTTTGGCCTTAGGAGGTAGTGAGAGGAGCGCGAAAGTTGACACAGCCTGAAACAGCTGGCGGGCAGTGCGGGAGCCAACCAGACTGGAGCGGGCCTGACCAGAATAAGCCGGACAGTGGGCGTGGCGTTCTGGGGGCGTGGCCCCGCGAGACGGTCACGTGTCTGTCCAGCCGCCAACAATTCGGGAAGGCGCCCGCGCGCTCTCCAGGACAGCACCGAGGAGGGGCAGTGTCCCCTAGCGGAGTCGCACCGCCTCCCGCTCTGCCGGGTGGCCAGCGCCGGGGCCCAGTAGGGTCCTCGGGAGTGCGAGCTGGAGTCGGCGACGGCCGCTTCAACAACGTGGGGCTGACAGACGGAAAGCCTGTGGTCGTGGCCCTCGCCTCAGGAGCTCTGGGAGCCTGGGTGACCGCGTAGGTCAGTTTCTCGCGGCCGACCTCGCCTGGAATCCGAGGCAGCCTCAGGTTCCTGCCAGCCCCGTGCTCCGGGTGGTCTGCCCGCACCTGGTGGGAGGTGAGCGCTCCTCTCCCGGGAGTTTCGAAGGCTCGTCAGGTTCGTGATGCCGCAGCGCGATCTTGGCTTCCCGGCGGCGGCTGGCTCCCCCAGCACTGCAGGAAGTTGTTAAAAGTAACAAACTGTTGGCATTTGTTGCACTTCCACTACGAGGTGCTGCGACTTCGTGCTGATGCCACATGCATCACCTACCAAGCCTTCAGCTGCGTGCTTTCTTGGTACTTTCATGTGTGCATGGTAACTTTTAGTTTCCCTCTAACAACGGGAGGATTGATTCACAATGGAAGTCACGAGTTGTTCATGTGACCATGTTTATTATGTACCGCGTGGTCGGTTCAACACACGTGAAAAAATGGTAGGGGTATCAGCGTGAAAGACCGCAGCTGCACAATAGAAACTGGTGGGAGGTGAGCGCTCCTCTCCCGGGAGTCTCGGTGGCTGGTCAGGTTCCTGAAGGAGTCACTTATCCTGAGGCCCTGATGATTGGCCGGAGATGTCAAAGGGGGTTATCCTGACTTAGCTTTCAGGTGTCTTGGTTTTTTTTTATGCAGACAATATTGTGAAATTGAATTTTGCAGTGAGATAGTGTAAGTTAAGGGTGCTTGAGTGTTCCTAATGTACCTCTCAGGCTTTATGAATGGTTGAATAATTAAGTCAGTTGTGAAACCAGTGATGTGTTTCCCTAGAAATTTAAGTATGCACAGTAGTAGATGCATTTTGGATATAGAGTTTGGGACACCCTCATCTCTTTACCCAGCATTTGGAAAATAGTTTGTTGGCTTGAAGTCTGTCAGTGTTCTTATTCTAACTGTGATACTTTGGAATTTTTGCTAAAGTATGCTAGATAATACATTCTGAACCCCTCAGCTGAAATTGTTAAAGCTCTCTATTAATCGGAGAATAGCCACAAAATCTGCTCTAAATCTCCCCAATTCTAAATTACTAGGTGGAATCTATCCATAGGCTATAGGGAGAAAACAGTAACAGTGATTTAATTTTTTTTTTCATTTCCCCCAGGCAAAGTAATTTTCTAACAGCGTTTAAAAAATGATATTCAAAATGGGAGTTAACAGCCATAAATTGAGTAGATTTATCTGAAATAGTTGTATTTGGATGTAGGACTTTGAGAATGTCTTTTATCAGATGACAATTGCTAGATATCTAATTATGAATCAGCAGGAATTTGTGATGGATGGCTAATGCTTGTCCCTGGAGGCTGCTCATTTTTGCAGGTATTGTAGCAATATGTGGACCTGTGTTTCAGATTAGCCAGGTTGTATATCTTAAAGACACTCCTCTCCCAGAATTGCCTTAAATAAATAAAAAAAAAATGATACTGTTTAACACCAACAATTAAGAATACAGCCAATCTCTTTTGAGTGATGTCTGTTAAATAAATTACAAGTTTTCTCCTTAGAGATACAGCTATGTATTTGATCATGCTTTTCAGTTGGAACTCTGTTGTGGCAATTTCTTAACCTGTTGACATTACTGTTAAGCAAGCGTCATAAGTATTCCCTTAAAAAGTCAAAGTAGAAATATACTTAAGTGGGAACACTTGGAGGAGACAATAAGCTAGTATGTGCATGTGAGAAATTGAACATCGGAAAATTTAAGCTGTGTCTATCAGAATTTTGACTCTGTAAATTCTGTGCAGTTCCTAGAAAGAGTACAGGTTTTGGCTATGCAGGAACCTGCTTATACCAATAATTCATTAATGAAGTTTCAGTAAAAATTCACACACTCTGTATAGTATATATTTACGATTTACCATCCTGGTGACATGTCTTTTATGATGTTCTTGATCCCTAGAAATGTTGAGTTTTTCTCACTTTACATGATTTCCCCCATCAATGTTATATCCATATTGTCAGTACTAAGGAGGTGGGCAAATATAAGAAAGTTTTAATGCAGTCAGTAAGAGGTTGTAGTAATTTGCTGATAGATTTTTATCTGAGTTCTTATTCATCAACCTTCAAGTAGAAAATGATGCACTATATAGTGAAAGCAGTCCTTCACTGAGCATTTTCCTATCATGTGACAATAGAAAGTAACCACATGTGTATTTTGTGTTTAAAGCTTCCCTTTAAAAGATTGGAGTTGTGGTGCATGTCTGTAGTCCCAGCTACTACTCCAGAGGCTGAAGCAGGAGAATCAGTTGAGACCAGGCTTTCAAGGCCATGCTAGATGACAGTGAAACCCCTGTCTCAAATAAACAAACAAAAATAACAAGAACAACAGCAAATAAGTCCCTATAAAGAGAAACTTCTATGATGCATAACTGGTCATTGAATGTAGAAAAATTATAAATAACCAGTGAATATATAGGGTTGGTGTCTAATTATGTCAGTTTGGCATCCAATATTGAATATGAATAAGAAAGTTCACATATAAAGTGAACAATAATTTGTTATAAACATTGTATGCTGATTTCAATGGTTTACATGCTGTTATAATTATAGTTCAACATTTTCCCCCCCAGAGGAGCAACGCTCTTAATGAGGGCACAGAGCTTAGAGGGAAAGTTTTACTGAATTAAAAATTGATTGCCAAGTGCACCTGTGAAAATACACCTGTATTTTCAGTTACTCAGGAGCCTGAGGTAAGAGAAATGCAATTTTAAGGCCAGCCTTAGCAACTTAACAAGACCCTGTCTCAAAGAAAGGACTGGGGATGTAGTTCAGTTGTACAGCACCTGTATTAAAAAAACAAACAAACAAACAAAAAAAACTTTATAAAACAACAATTCGAATGCTTCCTAAAATAGCTCTTATAAATTGCTGTTTTCCTTGAATTGCTGAGTTTTGGATATTTCTTTTCAGATAATAAAGCTTTGTAAAACTAGAGGGACCCAGGCAAGGTGGCGCACGCCTGTAATCCCAGCAGCTCCGGAGGCTGAGACAAGGAGCATTGCAGGTTCAAAGCCAGCCTCAGCAGTGATGAGGCACTTAGCAACTCAGTGAGACCCTGCCTCTAAATAAAATACAAAATAGAGCTAGAGATGTGACTCAGTGGTTGGGTGCCACTGAGTTCAATCCCCGGTACCAAGAAAAAAAACAAGTGGAACGACATACTATAATTCAGATTTTACTTCCTCAGTGCTCACATAGGAACAAATATTAGAATCAGTGGCCTTTAATTTTAAAGGCTGATTTGAATTTTATGAACTATATAGCTTTGTCACAGCTCATGCTTAGAAGTTACAGCTTCTGGCTGTTACTCTACTATCATATTTGGCAAGTAACTTTAATTTTGTGCTTTTCAGTTTTTCAATTCTGAAATTGGTGTCAGATCACACATGAGTCTCTGCCAATGTTGAATTTCTAAAACAAGCAAAAAGTGCCCTTAATGGTTTGGGTTAAAGCAAATGTCATACTTGTATGGGAATATATGTGTATATGAGTGTGACACACATAGCTATATGATCACATCAGAGAACTTACTGATTGCTCACTACAAACTAACAAGATTTAGAGCAGAAATTAATTTTCTTGTCATTGCTGTGTTTTTAAAAAGTAACTTTAATTTTTAATGCTTTCCCAGTATTAAAAGAATGTCAGGAAGAAACATATCATTAAGCAGCTAACCACTTTGGAGTGAAGTGCTAAACATGCTACAGTTTTTTTTTTTGTAAACTTTAATTGTTGGATGTATTTCAAAAATTATATTAATATCAAGCACAAAAGCTGTATCTGAGAATTTTTTTCTGGCTTGTGTGTGTGTGTGGACACGCACGCAGAGCTCTAACCCAGGGACTTGTATATGCTAGGCAGTTGCTCTATCTCTGAACCACATCCTCAGTTGTGTAAGTTTTAACCACTACATATGGTTTTAATGATTTCTGAATTGTTAAACTCCCCAATCCATTTGTAGAACCTTTTCATCATTTAAACTAAAACTGTACCATTAAATAATAGTTCCCATTTTTCCTTCCCTTAGCCCTTGGCAAACACTATTCAACTCTAGTCTTTATTAATTACTAGCTATGTTGTAAGTGAAATCATACAATGTTGTAAGTGAAATCATACAATATTTGTCTTTAGTGTGTCTGGCTTATTTCACTTAGCAAAATGTTTTCAAGGTTCATCTGTGTTCTAGCATGTGTCAGAATTTTCTTTTAAAGGCTGGATTATATTCCATTGTGTGTATTTACCACATTTTGTTTTTCCATTAATCTGTCAATGGATTTTCAGGTTGTTTCTACCTCTTGGATATTCTGAATAATGCTGCTGTGAACATAAGTGTTCAAATATCTGTTTGATTCCCTCCTTTCAGTTTTTTGGGGGGACACAGAAGTAGAATTGCTGGATCATATGGAAATTCTATGTTTAATTGTTTGAGGAACCACTGTACTTATGTTTTATGATGTGCAGTTAAATATTACAGGGATGGTTGAATAAGTTTAGCTTGGATGTCTTTGAATTTTAAACTTTTCAAATACTTTTAAATGACACATTGTTAAATACTTAAGTTTTTGATGTTGTGGTGAATTAGCTCTTATCAAACTTCATTATCTTTGAATTATCTAGGAATTTTCTATTTTGATTCTATAGAATTCTTTGATTTTGAAATTATACTTAAAAGTAGCCATTTAAATTATAAAATAGATTCCTGACCAAGTTTACCATGTCATGATCACCCTTTAAGCCAAAAGTTTTAGAGTCTCTGCTAAGATTTCAAAAATGCTGGGATCACAGAACTTATCTACTAAATTGAGTTTTCAGCAGCACAAAATTATCAGGTATGAGCGCCAGTTTAAATTATTTGTAGTGTTTAAAATACAATAAAATGTAGAAATTTGTAAATTTGCTTTCTACACAAAGAAACAAAATGTAAATTTGCTTTCTTCAAAAAGAAATTAAAATTAAAAGTTTGCCTTCTTGGTCTTGGAAGAAAGGAAACATGGCAAAAATGTTGTGTAGTCTCCCAGTTTTTGAAATCCATGTTTTCTGTCAAGTTTTTTTCCCTTGAAAACATTCTTATGACCATTAAATTCTCTAATTAATAAATTAGAGCATGGAATTGGGTGAATGTGAAAA